CAACAACTTATTCATTGTGAATACCTTTTTTCACCAACACAAACAGTCACTGTTCACATGGATCTTGCCAGATGGAATATACAGGAATCAAACTGACTAAATCTGTGAAAAGGACAATGGAGAAGCTCAATATCATCACTCAGAATAAGGCCAGCAGCCATGTGACAAAGACCATCAATTGCTCATATGCAAGTTTAAATTGAAGGTCAAGAAAATTAAAACAAGTCCATGGGAACCAAAATATGACCTTGAGTATATCCCATCTAAATTTAAAGACCATCTGAAGAATAGATTTGATGCATTGAGCACCAGTGACCAAAGACCAGAAGAATTGTGGAATGACATCAAGGATATCATACTTAAAGAAAGTAAGAGGTTGTTAAAAAGACAGGAAACGAAGAAAAGACTAAAATGAAATTTAGAGACTTTTGAATGGAGCATAGCTAGAGTGAATGGAAGAAATTATGAAGTAAAGAGCTGAACAGAATATTTCAAATGGCACTTGAAGAGAACAAAATAAAATACTGGAATAAAATATTCAAGGTCCTGGGGGTAGAAAATCAAAGGATAATACACACTCAGCATTTCTCAAGCTGAAAGAAATGAAGAAAAAAATCAAGTCTCAAGTTGGCAATATTGAAGGATTCTATAAGCAAAATATTGAATGATATATAACAACACACTTCCACCAAGCCAGATCCAACTCATAGCGACCCCTCCTTGGGTTTCTGAGGCAGTATCTCTACAGAAGTAGATTGCTCAACCTTCCTTCTGAGGAGTAGCTGGTGGGTTTGAACCGCCAGCCTTCTGGTTAGCAGTCAAATGCCTTAGGCACTATTCCACCAGATGTAGGAAGCATCAAAAGAAGATGGAAGGAATAAAGACTTACTGTACGAAAAAATTTGGTCAACATTCAACCATTTCAGAAGGTAGTACCTGACCAAGAATCAATGATACTAAAGAAAGAAGTCCAAGCTGCACTGAAGGAATTGGTGAAATACACCACTCTCCACTGCCACTGGGTCTATTCTGACTTATAGGAACCCTATGTTGTTGTTGTTGTTTGCCGTCAAGTCGGCCCCGACTCATAGAGACCCCTCCTTGGGTTTCCAAGGCAGTATCACTACGGAAGTAGGATCGCCCAACCTTCCTTCCGAGGAGTGGCTGGTGGGTTTGAACTGCCAGCCTTGTGGTGAGCAGTCAAGTGCCTTAGGCACTATGCTACCAGAGCTCCTATAGGAACCCTATAAGACAGAGTAAAACTGCCCCACAGCATTTCTTTCCTTCTTTTATTTTAATTTTATTATGCTTTGGGTGCAAATTTACAGACCAAAATTTGTTTTACATTCAGCAGTTCATGTACATTCGATTTCGCTCCCTGATTACCATCCCCAACCATAAGAAACTCTCCTCCCCTCCCATCCCTGTGACTACCCCCTCCCTGTGCCCTTCTTAAGTATGCACTCCTGTCTTTCTAGTGTTCCCAGTTTGTGAATGCTGACCCTCTGGTGCCCCATGGCTGATTGCTCTAAGGGGTGTATCTCCCTAGAGTAGGTGGGTGCCTCTCCTTGGGAAAGGTGTTCTGCATGTAGGTCTTTCTGCTATTGTGCTGAGAGCCCATCCATGAAAGTGAGTCCAATTCTAGGCCCAAAGAGTTCTACCAGATTCTATCTGACCAGTAATTCTGGTCATTTTTGTGTTTGGGGATTTTGTTCCACATTTTTCCTCCCACTTTATCCAGGATCTCCAGGTTTGATCCCTTTCCAAGTGGTTAGCATTGGTAGCCAGGCACCATCTAGTTCTTCTGGTCTTGGGGTCCATCGTATCCTTAGACTAAATGTTTCCAGATACCTTTGATTTTCTTCACTTTTTGCTTCAGATGAAAGGAGACTAATTGATGGCAGCTCAGAAACTTTTAAGACCCCAATCACTACTCACCTAAAGTCCCACAAGATTACCAAGTCTGTAAACCTTTATGGAAGTAGACTGCCTCATCTGTCTTTCATCAAGTTGCTAGTGGTTTTGAACCACCAATGTTTCAACAAATGGATGCAACACTGGAGGTGGTCACTTCTTTATGCCAAGAAATTTGGAAAATAATTGCATGGCCAACTGACTGGAAGAGGTCCGTATTTGTACCCATTCCAAAGAAAGGTGATTTAAAAGAATGTAGAAATTATTGAACAATATCATTAATATCACATGGAAGTAAAATTTTGCTGAAGACAATTCAAAAACTATTGCAGCAGTTCATCTATAGGGAACTGGCAGAAATTCAAGCCAGATTTTTTCTGAAGAAGTCGTGGAATGAGGGATATAATTGCTGGTGTCAGATGGATCTTGTCTGAAAACAAAGAATAAGAGAAAGAGGTTTCCCTGTGTTTTGCTGACTATGCAAAGGCATTTGACTATGTGGATCATTACAAATTATGGATAATATTGTGAAGAATAGGAATTCCAGGACATTTCATTGGCTCATGAGAAACCTGCACAAAGACCACAAGGCAGTCTTTTGAATAAAACAAGGGACTCTTGCATAGTTTAAAATCAGAGAAAGTGTGCATCACAGTTGTATTCTTTCCATCATTATTCAATCTGTGTATGCTGAGCAAATAATCCAAGAAGCTAGACTGTATGAAGAAGAACACAGATTTGGAGGAAGACTCATTAACAACCTGCAGTATGCAAACTACACAACTTTGCTTGCTGAAAGTGAAAATTTGAAGCACTTACTGATGAAGATCAAAGATTACAGGATTACAGCCTTCAGTATGGATTACACCTCAACATAAAGAAAACAAGGATCCTCACAACTGGGCCAATAAGCAATATCATGATAAATGGAGAAAATATTGCAGTTGTCAAGGATTTCATTTCATTTGGATTTGCAATCAATGCCCATGGAACCAGCAATCAAGAAATCAAATGGCATATTGCATTGGGTAAATCTGCTGTGAAAGACTTCTTTAAAATGTTACAAAGCAAAGATGTCACTTTAAAGACTAAGGTGTTCCTGACCCAAGCCATGGTATTTTCAGTAGCCTCATATGTATGTGAGCATGGGACAATGAATAAGGAAGAATTGATGCATTTGTGTTGTGGTACTGGGAGACAACACTGAATGTACCAAGGACTGATAGAAGAACAAACAAATGTGACTTGGAGCAAATACAATTCGAATGCTCCTTAGAAATGAGAATGGCAGACTTGTCTCTCATACTTTGGCCATGTTATCAGAAGGGACTAGTTCTTGGAGAAGAATATCACACTTGGTAAAGTAGTGGGTCAACGAGAAAGGAGAACACCCTCAGCGAAATGGATTGCTGCAGTGGCTGCGAGGATGGGTCGAGCATGGCGATGATTTTGAGGATGGCACAGGACCAGGTACTGTTTCCTTCTGTTGTACACAGGGTCACTATGTGGAAACCAACTCATGGGCCCCTACCAATAATTTATGTATTTCTTGTCCAAATTTGTAGTGAAACTCTAAAGGTAGTGACCATATTCTCAAGAAACTACCATATTCTAGTACATTTGATAGGTTGTCAAAGTTTTCTTGATGTTACTGAAATAACATCATTAAAAAAAAAAAAAAAAACAACTTCCATTGAGTCAGTTCCGACTCATAGCAACCCTACAGAACTGAGTAGAATTGTGCCATAGGGTTTCCAAGGCTGTAAATCTTTTTGGAAGCAAACTGCCTCATCTTTTTCCCACTGAGCAGCTGGTGGGTTCAAAGCAGTGACCTTTTGGTTAGCAGCCTAATCTTTTAACCACTGGGCAGAGCTCCTTCCTGAAATATCCAGGAGACAGAAATGTACAATCATGGACTCCAAACATCCAAATAACTGGATACTCTATCTGTCATGTGTACTGCCCTAATGTTTCTCTTCTCAAATTTTCAACTATCCCTTCACTGGAAAAAAAAAAAAAAGTATGTGTGTGTGTGTGTGTGTGTGTGTATACACACACACATATATATATGAATGCCTACTATATGCCAAGCACTCTACTAGAAATTGTGTCTTTCTAGCATTTTGCCAGACTGACTATATGATACTTGTCCATGTGACTTTAATGATACCGGAGATTTCACTGGTGAGGAACAAACTAGCATTAACATTTTATAAACATTTTAAGTAAAAAAATAAACAGCTTCATTGAGAGGTTATTTAAAGACCATAAAATTCACCCCTTTAGCATATACAATTCAGAAATTTTTTTAGTATATTCACAGACTTGTGCACCTATAACCACTATTTAATTTTAGAACATTTTTCTGCTCCAAAAAGAAACCTATACCCATCAGTAGTTACTCTCTATTTCCCCTCTTTCCACCCTGCCTGGCAATCACTAGTCTACTATTTGTCTCTATGTATTGCCTATTGTGGACATTTCATGTAAATGGAATAAAATAATATGTGCTCTTTGATTGGCTTCTTTCATTTGGCATGCTTTCAAGGTTCATCTATATTGTAGCTTGTATCACTAAATGATACATGTGTATTCCTTTTTATGGCTGATAGACCACATTTTTTAAAATCCATTCCTCAGTTGATAGGCATTTGGATTTTTCCCATTTCTTAGCTAATAAGATTAATACTGCTAAGAAGATTTGAGTACAAGTTTTCATATGGATATATGTTTTCATTTCTCTTGGGTATGTATACCAAGGAGTGGTATTGATGGATCATATGACAACTATATAAAAGTTTTTGAGGAGCTGCTAAATTATTTTCCAGAGAACTACATGGTGTTAAATTCCCTCAGCAATGCATGAGGACATAAAAGTTTAAGTTTTGACTCACTATGTACTCCCACAAAGACAAGTTGCATATTTATTAATTTAATATTCACATTTTAAATCTTAAATTTTAAATTTATTATTACCCTAATAGTCATCTTATATTTTATAAAGCAAAACCATGAAATATCTTCTTTTCACTGCAGTAATAAGAGAGATTATGCTCCAATGATTTTTCTATTTTATTTCTTTTTAGCCAAGGAGAAATGACAGAAGCAATTAAATGCTTGAAAAAAGTTCTGAAAATTGCAAGAAACAATTTTCAAAACCTAGATATTGTGAGAGCAAGTACAATGCTTGGAGACATTTACAATGAAAAGGTTAGTATACAGCATTTCTTGTTTTTAGGGAGACACTTACAAAGTTTTCGAATTCTATTCCCATTTGCACCTCACCTTCCAACAGAATGTTTTTCTGAATGCCCCAGAATTCTTCTCTTGGATTGCAGGACTTGGTTGATACACAAGGCAGTGATTGGGAAGAGAAGCACCTCTTTCTTGCTCTGGTATTTGGACTTGATTAACATCTTGGGCACAGACACCACAAGCTGCTAACCCTGATTGATATCTTCACAGCCAATGAAAATTCTAAGTGATTTTGGATTTGAGGATCAATTGTTGTTGTTGTTGTTGTTATGTGCCATTGAGTCAGACCTGGAACAATTACAACATTTAAATTCAATAGAACTTCATTATAATAGTTGGCTTTTAGCTGCTTACACTTTTTTTGTTGTTTATACATTTTTTTTTTAACATTGGTTTGGTTGAACGTTTACAGAATAAATTAGTTTCTCATTCAACAATTTGTACATGTTTTGTTTTGTGACATTAATTGCAGTCCTTCCTTCCATGTAACAGCAGTCTTCCTACTTCTTCCCTGGGTTTTTGTTTCCATTCACCCTTCTTTCTTACCTGCTTCCATTTACATTCATCTTCCTCACTTTAATCAAGCTGATAACTCAGGAGAGGAAAGGGCAATTCCAAAAGTAATTATTAAGAAAATATGAACTTTTAGCAACAGACAAGTTATGTGGAGAAAGAGAGGAAGAAGAGAAGAAAAAATTCTGATCTGAAAATATCTCATTCAAGAAACCATTATTTAGTGAAATGTATTGATCGTAATTGACTTTTTAAAATTTGTTTTCTCCTGATTTTTGTCTGTTATAACCCAATTGTCTATTAGAAGTACTTCATATGAAAGGGACTTAGTTTTTCAGGTTATGGTTAATGTTTTGAGCATGAATACGAAGCTTGCCTGGTGGAAAATAAGTGCAATATTGTTGCTGTTGTTGCCATCAAGTGGATTCTGGCTCAAGGCTACACCATGTGCTATGAAAAGGTTAGCTCTCCTACTTTCTCTTTCCCAGAACATCAGAGTTCAAGTAGATTACTCCATATCTTAAAGCTTCTAGATAACAGTGATATTCAAACCCACACTCATAACCAGTACATTATGCGGTTCTTTGCCATGAAATTAATTTTAATGATTGCAGAATTGTTTAGGTTTTTATTAAGGAAATTGAGTTTGAAATTAATTTGAATGAATGAAACTAATAATTCTCCAGTTCTTGGTAGTGTTTTCAAACAGGGTATCTCATTTCTTCCTTACTTATTCTCCTCTCCTTTTTTCTCACCGTGTCATGTTGGCTTCCCCTCTTTCCTAATATTTAAGCTCACAATCTTGAAACCCTCTTTTCTCTTGCCTCTCTCTCTCACACTCTTTCCTCTCTCCTTCTCCCTTACCCACTCTCTGACTCCCATATCTCTGCTCCTTTTCTTTCTCACCAGTCTCTCACCCTCCACTGGCCTCTCCTTCTCGGGTGTTCTTCCCTTTGTTCTCCTCTTCCTTTGTGTCCTGCCCTATATCTGTCCCCACCGTTTCACCCAGATCTTTTCCTTCTGCTGCCCCCTTCTCTGTGGCATTGCTCTCTCCCTCAGATGACATCTCCATCATTAGTCTGTTTTTGCTTTTGTTCACTCTTCAGCTCTTCAGGATACAGTAGTGAAAAAAAGGTGGAAAAAGAAAAGATAAAGCCCATACTTTCTTAAAGGTTTACAGCCTAGTAGGGGAGCTTATCATATAGTAGCAGAATTTACATTCCTAGAAAAACATTTAGTCTTATTTTTATATGGATTATTCTTCAAACCAAAGTGCAAAAATCACAAGTTGTTATTTTCTACAACCAAACAATACCTCAAACTCAGTCTTTTACTATAATATGAATATTGAGTATCAGCCTATGCTTTGCTAATTACAGAAATCATAACAGATGGAAAACAGTGACTCTTTCTGTGGAACAATACTTTATATTTCCATTTTCTTAACATTTTTGCCAAGAGTTTGTATTTTTTTCCCCTGAATTTTTAAATAAAACATTTTCAATTAAATTTTGACTAAATTTTAAATCAAAAGGGTAGAGACAAGAAATAATATGCAAAAGCTGTATCAATGGCCAAAAAGTAATTTTTATCAGTTTATCCCTATTCCAATATAACATTTGGAGGTTCCAAGTCTATTTATGCTATCTTTAATGGCAGACTTCAAATGTACATGCTTATTAATATACCTTATGATTCTTTATATTTTAATATAATAAATCATCTCTGATAAATAGTATAGTAATAAGGTCCCTAGATGACATAAAAGTTTAAGTGTTCAACTATACTTAAAGGCTGAGAGTCCGAATCCACCTGGAGGCATTTCAGAAGACAGATCTGGTGATCAGCTTCCAAAAGTCCTAAGTGTCAGCTCTTCCATGAACGTTTGGTAGAATTCTCCAGTGAATCTGTCTGGGCCAGGAATTTTTCCATGTGGCGAGTTTTTTTTATGACCTCAATTTTTTCTTTTGTTATGGTTCTGGTCAAGAATTCTATCTCAGACTGTGTTAGGTTAGGTAGGTCTTATGTTTCTAGAAACTAGTCTATCTCTTCTACATTCTTGAATCTGTTGGAGTACAGTTCTTCATAATATTGTTATTAAATTTTTACTTTCATTTGGTTCTGTTGTGTTGTTGCCCTTTTCATTTATTATTCATGTTATTTGCATCTTCTCCTTCTTTTCCTTTGTTAGATTTTCCAGTAGTTTGTCAATTTTGTTAATCTTTTCGAAGAACCAACTTCTTGTTTGGTTGATTTTCTCTATTATTTTTTGTGTTGTTTTCTGCTTCTCTCATTTCTGCTCTGATCTTTATTATTTCCTTACTTCTGGATACTGTCGTTTTCTTCTGTTGCTCTTTTTCTGACTGTCGGAGTAGTTGAGTTAAAATGTTGCTTCTGATTCTGTCCTCTTTTTTAATGTGTGCATTTATTGCTATAAATTGACCTCTGAGTCACTGTGTTCCAAAGGTTTTGGTAAGGTGTATCTTTATTCTCATTTTTTTTCTAGGAGTTTTTTTTATTTCACATTTTGTTTCTTCTGTTACCCAGTAGTTTTTCAGCACTGTATTATTCTGTTTCCACATATTTGATTGTTTTTTCCTTGGTATTCCTATTATTAATTTCTAATATTATAGCATTGTTATCTGAGAAGATGCTTTATAGTATTTCAGTGTCTGTGAATTTATTGAGGCATGTTTTGTGTCCTAATATATGGTCTATTCTGGAGAATGATCCATGTGCACTGGAGAAGAATGTGTATTGTGCTTTTGTTGGGTAGAGTGCTCTGTATATGGCTGTGAGGTCAGATTGCTTGATTGTGTTGTTGACTTCTTCTGTATCTTTGTTGAGTTTTTTCCTAGTTGTTCTGTCCCTCCTTTAAAGTGTTGTGTTAAAGTTTCCCACTACTATTGTAGAGTTGTCTATTTTTCCTTTCAACTCAGTTAATATTTGCTTTATGTATTTTGGAGCTCTTTCATTGGGTGCATAGATATTTATTATGGCAATGTCCTCTAGGTCAGTTGACCTTTTTAGCATCATATAGTGTTCTTCTTTGTCCCTTATGCTGTTTTTCACCTTGAAGTTTATTTTATCAGAAATATTGCTACTCTTGCTCTTTTGTAGTTGCTATGAGCTTGTTATAATTTTTTCCACCCCTTAATTTTTAATTTATTTTTATCTTTGGGTCTAAGGTGGGTCTCTTGTAGGTAGCATAACAGTGGGTCTTTTTTTTTTATCCAATCTGCCACTCTCTTTCTCTTGACTAGTACAATAGTTCATTTACATTGAGTATAATTAGTGATACCAAAATAACCAAACTCACTGCTACTGAGTCGATTCAACTCATAGTGACTCCTCCTTGGGTTTCTGAGGTGGTATCTCTACAGAAATAAATTGCCCAGTCTTCCTTCTGAGAAGTGGCTGGTGGATTTGAACTGCCAGCCTTCTGGTTAGCAGTCAGAGGCCTTAGGCAATATATGCCACCAGACCTCCCATAATTAGTGATAAGTATGAATGTATTGCTGTCATTCTATTATGTTTTTTGTTCTGTTGTTGGTGATTACTTGTTCCAAATATTTTTCTGTGCTGAGTTCATTTTGTTATCAGGTGTTTTCTGTCTTTTCTTCATTATTTTTGGTTTTTTGCTTACTAAGCTGTTGTGTTTTTCTTCTTTCTGAGTTTGCTTGGAAGGGTTGCTCATTTTCTTTGTGGTTACCCTAAAGTAAATTCCTATCCCCTAAGTTTGGAACAGTCTGTTCTACAAAGACGTTGTCCTGTCTTCATCTTCATTTGGAAGTTTTGTAATTAAAACTTTTACTCCATTTGCTTTGTTGCTGCTGTTGTCTGCAGATTGACTCCCCTATTTCTCTATGTACATGTTTTTATGAGCTTATTTTGAGAATCTTTTTCTGGTTTGGTTTCTAGGTGGTGGTGTCAAGTGTCTTGATTTTAATTTGTTGTTCTCTGTTCGTGGAATCTCTATTAGAAGGGCTCCCTTTAACATTTCTTGTCGGGTTGGTCTGGTTTTCACAAATTCCCTTAATTTCTTTCTGTCTGAGAATGTCTTGATTTCACCCTCAAATTTTAGGGATGTTTTTTCTGGACACATAATTCTCGGTTGGTAATTCTTTTCCTTCAAATTTTTATATATGCCATCCCTTTGCCTGCTTGCCTGTATGGTTTCTGCTGAGAAATCAGAACTTACTCTTATTGGTTGTCAGTTGTAGGTGACATTTCATTCTTCCTGAGTTGATCCCATTGTTGAAACCACTTTGTTGTACTTCATTAAGGGTCTTCCTCTTTTTTACTGACCCTCTGCTTTACCAAGCATGATGTCTTTCTTCAAGGACCATTCACTACTGATAGCATGTCCAAAGTACATGAGACAAAGTCTCTCCGATCTCACTTCTAAGGATCATTCTGGTTGTGCTTCTTCCAAGACAAAT